TTCCCTTCCAGAGCAAGATCAGATGAGCGGCTGGCGTGACACATTTTTAACTTTTCAATGGGGTTTGCTTTGCTGACTTGTTTGTGTCGTGTATTTCTTAAACCTGGGATCTAATTGTGTCTTCCCTTGGCTACCACTGCCCCCCCCACACACACAGCCCTGCCCCACAGCCTTTCCCAAAGCAAGGGGGAGGGGGTGTGTGAACTGATTATCTGAGTATGCAGGCTGCTCCTAGGGCATCCTGGGCTCTCAGGATGCCAGGGGGTTAGAAACTGGGGAGGGGGGAATTAATTGCCAAGAAAAACCGAGGCTGAGCTGTGACTTTGATTCCATCAATTACCATTATCTTTCTCCGCAGGTCCGCCAACCATCCCTCGGAACTGGCAGTGTTTAACTTTTTTTGCCAGTTGTGATACCCTGTCAGATTTCAGGCGGTACCACGCCGCCTGCCTGGACTCCTCCTGGGCCCTTATCAGCCTCTCCCAGTCAGCCTGGCCCAGCACAGCTGTTCCAGGCCCTCAGCCCCTCACTTTATCTGCTCACACAGACCACGGCCTGGCAAGCAGCGAGCACAGTGCCTGCTCCACATTCCCCAGGAAGCCGGCTAGGAACACAGCAGCCCTGCTCCCAGAATCCTCCGGGAGTTCATTACCCAGCCAGGGTACCCCCATCTCAACAGCCAAGGTACAGGCCGCACGGCTCAGCCTCACCACCAGAGCTGCCTGCATCATTAAAACTCCAACCTTCTGAAGAGAATAAAGAACAAAACCACAAATTTAGATTAATAAAGCATTTGTTGATTCTACAGCAATTTAGCAGGCCCCTAAGAAACCCACCAGAGACCCACGGAGCTCCAGTAATTTTCTGTTATATTATCTTTCTTGTAAAATACTTCCCCAGACAGAGTCCCCAAAGGGGCTCAAATATCACTGTGACTAACCAAAATCAATGTGCACTCACCTATTGACATTTTTACATAGTTTTTGGATTTAGTATCCAGCCGAAAACACAATCAACTCCTCTGCCAAGGAACCGACAGGCACTTAGCTAGTCAGCTATTAGTGTTACAAAGGAAAAAATGCAGGCACCCAGGGGAGCAGGGCAAGGCGGCACTGACGTCAGGGGGTAATTGGGTGTCTGAGAGAAATTGCCAGCGGCTGGCCGGCTCCCCCGGGGGGCGCACAAAGCTGAGCTGTAACTCTAATAAAGGAAAGGAAATTCTAGAAAAGGGGGCTTTGCTACAAAGGCACCCAGGCAGATGCCAAAAATAGCCCTTTGGAAATAAATAAAGAAATATGGCTAAAGCATATAGATCTAAAAAAATTTTTTTTAAACATATAGATATAAAAAATAAAATAAAATCACCACAGCGACAAAGGCTTCTGGCCGCCCCTCCTTGGACATCTGTTTGGGGCTCATGGGCTCTCCCACCCACTTGCTCTCCCAAATCAGGAGCTTTGTAATGCTGGGAGGGGGTTTGTCCTCTATTTTGGCAAATAAGACATATATTTTGAAAGAACCTAAATTTGTACTCCATTCGTTGCTTACTTTGCGATTCAAAAGGAGAAGACATCGCTATTGTTTTGTTTACAGCTGTTTTTGTTTCAGGTTTGTGAGGAGTGGGGGGCTGGGGGGGTGTCTTAGAAAGTCACTCCCATGAAATGAATATTCCAGAGTTTCTTGCGTAGCCCTGGGATGCCAAGTAGAAGTCTATCCTGGGAAGTGGTTTGGTTTTGTTTCCCTTGACAATACTCTCACCCCTGAGGTCAGGGGCTGTGGCATAATTTGGGTACACACAGCATCTTCCCCCCAGCTTGGGCCCCAGTGTTTGAGGAGGAGCATGGGGAAATGGGGGCTACGCCAGCCCTGAAGCTAGAAGATGGGCCTGGATTCGACCGAGTATGGTGTGGGGGAGGGCTACAGTACTGAAGGTGATCTGAGCCCAGGAGCCCATCTTGGTCAAGTGAGGGAGGCAAGCTGGAAAAAAGAGATGCCCCAAAAAAAAAGAAAGCGCTTCCCAGGGTCAGTTTCTATTTCATCACTTGGGGGAGGGTAGGATAAATAGGCCCTGGATTTTAAAACGAAAGGAGAAAAAAGCAGAAAGCGCTCCAACCTAGAGCTACTTAGAAATGGACCTGAACAAAGGTCTTTGGTTAAAAATGTCAAGTCCCTGCCACAGGACCGCTTGCCTTGCCCCTTGCTGGGCTCCTGCTGGTGCCCCTGGCCCTGCATGGCCCACAGCTGTGGGCGAACAAAACCCCCAGGGCCTCCTAGCTATCTTAGAGGAGGGGCGGGGTTGGGGGGGGCAATTCCTCTCCTCACAGAGCACCCAGCGTGGACCCTGAGGGGGAACATCCACCTGGAAAAGAAGGGGCTCCTTCAGTAACTCCCAGCCCTGGGGAGGAAGCGGAGCTTAAGAACATGCCAGCCAGCACCAGGGCACCAAATCACAAACCTTGAGTCAATGATGCAATCGCTTAATTAATCAGCCTGCTCGGGATGGGTGCAGAGTATCTCTTGGAGCATCTGACCCAACCAGCTCCAATAGGCACACCCCCCTCTTTGGCCCCCTCAGCTGGGCCCACGGGACCACAGATGGTTGAGCACCGTCTGGGAGTCTCGCAGCAGGAGGGGGGCTGTGAGTCCCCGCATCCCTTGTGTGATCCAGTCACTGTGGCAGAAAGGGAGGCGGGAGGGGGGAGGGAGGAGGCAGGAAGAGGGAGGGTCTTATCAGCTACTTCGAATTTCTTGGCCTCAGAGGCTGCCGGTTATTTTCTTATCCCAGTCAATGAGACTGTAATGGAAATGGGGAGCGTCAGACCCCTCTTGTCAGGAGGCTGGGAGTGCCGGATTTAGAAGGAAATGAAGGCAGTTGTTATTAACCCTAAGGCATAACAAGTCTAAAATTCACAACTTGTAAAGACAGTATCAAAGGTGCGTGCAGATGGTGAAGGATGAAATCTTCACACAAACGTTGTATGGGTACTCATGGGTGCTTTGGGGGACAGGAGGGCACCCCTTATATCTGTTCCAGGCTTCAGTAGCAACATGCTTCCAAAAAAGTAGTAGGCAACCTTAAAATGCCCTGTTCTGATGGCCGAGTGGGAATGAGGGTTTGAAACCAATTCCAACTGAGGGACTGGACAATAGCCAAGGTTTATTTTCTCATCTTTAATGCGGGGGCGGGGTGAGGGGGGGCGGGGTGGGGTGGGGGGTGGAGAGAGCTCTGGGGGACAGGGAGCAAGCAGGCTAATAACTCAAACTGACCCAAACGGTTAATAATAATGAGGCGGGCTCACAGGACAGGGCTGGAGCAGCTAGCTCTAAGGAAGAGGGGAGACCAGACAGAGAGCCACTGCAGAGGGGTTTGCAATTACCCAAAAGGAAAATCATTTATTTTTAAACAATACCCCCTTGACACTGGGTGTTTTAAAGAAAACGCACTCTGGCCCCTAAAATATCAAAGTGAGATTTAAAAATAGAAAAGTCATTTCCCCCCCTTCTCAGTGCAGATTTTACTGTAGCGTTCTAGAAGGGAGATTAAATGAAGGAAGCTCAAACACACTCAATTTTGTCCTTTAGCAAATTCTTCTCTTTCACTCTTGCATGAAGAAAAAAAATCTCCCCACAGAGTTTTTCTCTTCTTCCTGGTGTGGATCTGGGCCCCTGCAGTGCCCTGTGTAATTTCCAGTTCCTCAGAATTCAGGTATTAATAAAGACCCCATGGGGACTTCCAACAATATAACCCTACATTTTGAGGCATTATGAAAGGAAACCCCCAGGGGTCTGTGGCTCAAATTTCTGAAATGTAGGCATTGTAAAAGGCACCCCAGGGGATGCCCGCAATAGAAATCTGCTGAATTCAAAGCATTTTGGAAGTCCTGGTGGGAGTCATTACTCCCACTGGAAGCTTTTTACAAAACATGTGTTGCTGACATGTTGACAGATTGCTCAGTGAAGTGTTTAGGTGCATGCACAAGGCGGGCCTTTGGAGACGCTCGGCGCTGCCAGCGAGTCTCCGAACGCTGGAACCGGTACCATCCATATTTCATAACAGGGGAGGCCGAGGCAGCCGGGGATGGCAGGAGTGTTCTCCAAATCAGAAGCAAGCTTCACACCCCTGCGCCAAGGAGCTGCTTCAAGTGGGCCGGCCCATCCTCGCGGTGCAGCCGGCTTGTGCAGCACAGCTGTGACGGCCCTTGCATCCCTGCCAAGGGCTTTACTGAAGGAATCTTGAGAGGACCTCACTGATCACTGGGAGGCGGCCTGCAAGATCTAACTGAGGAGGGTGGTGTGGGGGCTTGGGGCTGAGGGGACCCTCACCTCTGCCCTCCGCCCATAAGGAGAGGCTGGGTGGTGGTGGGGTGGGGTGAGGTGGGGGTTGAACTCATGTGTGCTGGTCTTGACAGCATTAAGCTCAGGAAAGTGATCTGTGACTTTAATAAGGCAGAAGGGCTCAGAGGAATTAGCTGCCTAGGTGATGGGGGCTGGAGATGGATGGAAATGTATTCATGGCCTGGTGGGCCAAGGGCCAGGCTGGGGCCCTGGGGAGGTCTGTTCACCCACTGGCCTCATGCACTCCCGGGCCCTTGTCTACAAAGGGTTGTGGGCTGGAGTCCTATGTGTGTATTCAAGGAAGCCAAGCAGCCTGACACTCTCTGTCTGTCTCTGTTTCTCTCTCTGTCCCTGTCTCTTTCTCTCTCTCTCTCCCTCCCTCCCTTTCCCCCTCTTCACTGGCAGGGCAATGGGTCATATGCCTGTGTTCATGCAATTTTAAAGGTAAAAGCAGATGGAATCTGATAAATGTGCATGTGTGTTGATAAGGGCCATGTACACTCACACACATTCCAGTGTAGGGTCTTTTCTTTCCTCTCTGCTCTTTGCCTTTAAGACTTTCGGACACAGGCACCAGGATGAGAAGCAAGTGCCTAACCGTGCCACAGACGGTGCCACCAAAAAACCTCATCAAGAAAATGCATCTTTAAGAAAAAAGTATCTCAATCGCTTCTCGGCCTTTTGGCTAAGATCAAGTGTAGTAAGAAAAAAGTATCTCCTTTGAACCGTATTATCCATTACAATTTCAGTTTGGTGGCCTTTTCCTGTTGGTAAAATTTTCAAAATGCATTGTGGGATAAAAATCCTTTCTGCTTAAGTACACAGCATTTAGGAGTGGGTGGTATGGCAGGGTGGGAGGCAGGGAGGTGTCCTGGGGAATGGTGGCAGCGTGTGACAAACTGCTAAGGCTTCTGAAACTGAGAGGCTCCTAGGCAGCTAGGCAGGAAGGGCTCAGGGCTCAACACATCACCTGCTTGTGTCCAGCACGGTGGCTTACACACAGTATGTGATCAGTAACCATGTGTGGAGAGAGTGAATGAAGAAACAACCATAACCCCCACCCACTCAAACTCATTCACAATAAATTTAAAAAAACAATGCTTAGATTCGGAATTTTAGTATGCATTAAAATAAAATAAAATTTGAACAGTGAAGAGAAACCAGGAGAGTGAGATTAAGTTGATCCAGTAGGTATGCTCCATTCTGTCCAAAGAAAGGAAGGATTGGGGGGAAACCCTTTTCTTCTAAGAGGAAGCCATGGTCCAGGAGGCAAATAGGGAGGCTGAATCCAGGTCCCAGTGGTCAACTTATCCAAAGGCTGCCTTTTCCCGTGGCACTCTGTATCTGTCATGCCCAGAGAGGAATGACAGAGATCACAGGGAATAGGTGGCCCAGAGATATGAAAAGAGGCAAGAGGAATCTTCTCTGATGGAACCACTGCAGAGGTTCTCTCCATCAGAGACGTCTCAGCCCCATGCCAAGCTCCCACTGAGGAGGCCAGGACTAAAGCATGAAATCTCAAAATGCGGACTCCCCCTTCTCCCGAACTCAGCGCTGCCTTCAGGGTTCTTTCTGGCCCCTTTCTGCTTAGACCATGAGGATCTGTGTATGTCTGACCACAGCCACCAATTTGTCCCAGTTGGTCCAATGCCTTCTCAGCCTTAGCTCTGAAAATGCCAAACTTCCAGAAACCTCCTCAGTCCCGGGCAAACTGGGACAACCGATCACACGATACACCGACTCTGGAACTCCGTCAGTGAGGACCAGCCAAAGCTGAAAAATAACAAGCGTGCAATGGGCACAGGCGTGCATGAATAAACTGCTTTGGTTTGTAAGTTACAATAGGTTTGAAGACAGTACCAAGGTTTGCATGTCACCACACCGGGAAGACGCATGGCCACGGAACCGCTCCTCGGGCAGAGCTGTCACATTGGGCATCTCCAATGGGAGTCAGTACTCAGAGCCAGGCCCGAAAACCTCCCAGTCCGCTGGCATCTCCACTCCCCAACAGAGTCCCTCTTGTTCACCAATACTGGCAGTCCCCAACTAAACCCAGGCCTAGAAGGTGCCCAGCAAGTACCAATGCTGGGTATGCATCATCTTTATGGGGCCTCCCTGTTCATCTTCTCACAGCCAGCCTCTTCCCTGACCAAGTCTTCGGATTTTATTTTTAAAGCTTAAAAGACAGCAGAGTGGTGGTGGGGCGTAGAGTAATGGTGAGTCCTTTCTGGGAAAGGGTTGGGGTAGATGAACTGGAAGAAGAAAAAGCCACACGAATAGAACTGTGCTCTATGGGGCTTTCAATGGCTGGATTTTCAGAAACAGACTGCTAGGCCTTCATTCAGAAGAACTTCCTGGGTAGACGCAAACCTCTAATCCTTCAGGTGGCAACTAAGCACACTAGCCGTTCACCGTATCCAAACCCACTGCTACTGAGTGGATCCACAGTGATCCCATGAGACAGAGTGGAACTGTACCATAAGGCTTTCTGAGCCGCGATCTTTATGGAAAAGCCTGCTGGCACAGTGGTTAAAACCCCTGGTTGCTAACCAGTGCTAACCAGCAAACCAGTGTTAACCCACTAGCTGCAGCAGTCTCCTCCTCTAAAGACTCAGACTTCCTGCCCTCAAGTCCATTTCAGTTCACAGCAACCCTAAAGGGCAGGGTGGAACTGCCCCTGTGGTTTTCGGAGTAGAAAGCCTCTTTCTCCCTGAGGCAGTTGCATACTGCTGATCCTGCGGTTAACAGCCCAACTCATAACCACTACGTCACCAAGGATCCTTCCATAAAGTGTAGATCCTTGGAAATCCTTCAGCGCAGTTTTACTCTTGAAAAGCTTTAGGGGTAGTTCTATTCTGCCCTATGGGGCCACTATGAGTCAGATTCCATTTGATGGCAATTGGTTTATGTGGTACTTACATAAATTCATGTCAACTTAATATATCAAAGTGTAGAAGTAGAGTCTAGTCTGTCAATCAGGTCACAGCTGGATGGTACCTCCTTATGGATATGGCCTTCTCATAAGGAGGGCCCTGAGAACCTCCCCTCCTCTCTGCTTTTACCTTCCTGCAGGCGAGCCACTCTGAGACCTGGCAGAGCCCTAGAGATGCGTCCACTGCCAAAGGATTCATAAGAGTTTACACCCACCACCCTGTGATCTTCCTGCATTCTCCATCATTGCATGTGGCTGCCTCGGTCTGAAGAGGGACCTATGGACAAGTATCAGACTTAGGATCTTGACTGGGATGTTTTATTGATGCATAATTACTTCTTGATATAAAGCTCTTTCTTATACAGATTTGAGTATCAGTGAATTTGTTTCTCTAGTCAACCAGCCTAACACAGTTTAGTTTTTGGAATCTTTATGGGAGCAGATCATCAGGTCTTCTCCCTCAGAGCCACTGAGTGGATTTGAACAGCAACCTTTTGGTTAGTAGCCAAGTGGCTTAGCGCTGCTTATTTCAGGAGAGTGATGGGAGTGCACGAGGGTTTGTTCATTCAACAGGCCTGTTCAGGAATTTCCCAGTCAAAACTCAGGCTCTATGCAAATGCATGAAGAAAGCAACACCTCCGCCCAAAGGCCTGTCTGTGCACAGTTACAGCACCAGGGGTGGACCTCTGGGATGATGTGTGTCCAATCCAGCTATAAGAACTGTAATATAAGCCTAAGGACAACCGTGCAATGGAATACAAGAAATCCCATTAAAATTAGGCTTCAGAATACTGTTTAACAGTACAATTAATAACCTGCTTACAGTCTGTAGGCAAGCAAGCAAAGGGGGGAGAAACAACATCGGTGAACAAGAAGGATGGCGAGATGGATGCCAAAAAGAGAAATGGTTATGTCTGAATAGTGAGCTTACTCAAAAACCAAACCAGCTGTCATTTAAGCAGCTCCAAATCACAGCGACCCCACGTATGTCAGAGGAGAATTGTGCTCCAGTGGCTGAGTTTTCAGATTATAGCTAGTTGTTATTTTCTTCTGTTGGCTTGTCTTTATTTAATACATGTTCGGCGGTAAATTTATGTAACACGCACAATAAGAAAACCTGTACTTTTTTCTCATCCATAGACAAGGAAGTAGACCCAGTGCTCCTACAACTACAGAGTAAACTGCCTGCTTGGGGGTCAGGGGACGCTCTGGAGAAAGTAGAATGGAGGCATGCTTCTCCATTGGGCAATGGCATTCTAGGAAAAGGGAACAACATGAGTAAGGACACACATACTTCCGAGTGCAGTGCTGGGACCAATAGGAAAATAGGGACAGACCTGACCAAAACAGGCTTCCATGCCAACCACTGTAAAGAGGTGACTACTGGTCTCATGGGTTTTGGGGCTGGTGCCCCTCAGAGAATCTGACGTATCACCACTCCCTCCCCATCCAATGTGAGGCCGTGGTTTGCCTTTGGACAAACTCGTTTCCAACTGACAAAATCCAGCTGCTGTTAAGTCCATTCTGACGAATGGCCACCCCAAGTGTCTGAGTTTAACGGGATTCCATCAGGTTTTCAATGACAGATTTTTCAGAAGTAGATCACCAGGTCTTTCTTCCGTGGTGCCTCTGGGTGGCCTCAAACATCCCACCTTTACTAGTTGAGAGTGCAAATCATTTGTACCACCCATGGATCAAACAGATCCTTAAGAAAATGGGTGGAACTCTAGTCCGAAAGGAAACGAAGTCTTCAACGTGTTACTTCAAAGCCAGTCACTTTGACAGCTGCCCAGAAAGCAGACAGGCACACTAGACCCAGTCCTGGCTCCTTGTACAGGTAGTGAGCTTTCAACCCACATTCTTGAGGGGCTCCTGCCTGATGGGGGCTCCTGACAGAGCCTGATGTGGATTGGGACCAGGGCCACTCAGCCACCAGGAGGCCAACTTCCAGCCACTGTTGAGGTGGCTGCCACCAAACTCCGGCTAGGTGTCAAGAGGAAATTAAAATAAATGACCCTGTCACATTGTTTATCATCCATTCATAAAATATGCAAGAGCAAGGTAGAAGAAAAATAGGTCACTTCGGTGAGATTTACAGCTACTTAGAAATCTAAACATTCACCCGAAGGTCTTCTGACTCCATCTGGCTTTTGAAGGCCAGGTCTCCCTGACCCAGAAAGGAAAGAGTGAGTGCAGAAATTCAAACCAGAGAGGGACACCAAGGACACAATGACATCAACGGCCTCCCAGCACAGATGGCCCCAGGCCACATGGCTACCAACATCCAACCCCCCAGAATAATCCATAGGGTGATCTTTTCAAAACAAATCAACTATATCACCTCTCACCATACCCAGCCAGTGACTTCCCAAAAGCCTGTCTTTCCTGCTCGCAGTATTCAAGGCCCTGCAAGATTGTCCTTAAAAGACTTCTCAAGCTGATCCCATACCCTCACCTCAACCACTCTGTGAGTTCCTGCCACCTGGTCCCCTTGCTAGCACCCTTCGCTCTCCTGGGGCCTTTGAATAAGCTCTTCCCCTAACTGACACCCTCTTCCCTCTGGCCATAGCCTTCACCACTTCCATCTTACTCACGCCGACTCAGGGCCAGAGTAAGACTTTGAGAGGTCCCCCATACAGAAAAAGGCAGTGATGGCTCAGTGGTAAAGAATTCCTCCATACCGGAAGCCCAGGTTCCATTCCTAGCCAATGCACCTCATGCGCAGACACCATCTATCTGTCAATAGAGGGTTGCATTTTGCTAGGATGTTGAATCGGTCTTCCAACTGCTCCTCATGATTCCAAACTAAGATGGATGGGAAGAAATCTACTAGTAATCGAGTTCCAAAAATCAGCCCATAAAATCGGTCAAATCTGCAGTTGATGATGGGGATGGTGGGGCACCAGGCAGTGTTTCA